GCCGCGGGAGCCCTGTGTGACTACCCGAAGCCACATGCAGGAGCATCTAGCCCCATCCACATCTCACACCCACTGCAGGCTCCGTCTTCCCCATGGGGGGATGGGGGCAGGGGCTACAGGATCCCCACTTCAACAGGATCCCCACTTCACAGAAGGGTAAACTGAGTCTCTAAGAGAAGATAAAAGACGTGCCGTGGCCACCAGAGTGGCAGAGGAGCCCCTGAAACTGGCTCATCCTGTTTCAGCTTTGTACTCCCAAATTCCCCCAGTTCTTCCTGCTGCCCCCAGAAAGTACACGGGGAGAAAAACACGGTCAACTCTCAGTTATTCGGGACCCAGACATGCTTTCTGTGAGCTCCCGTTTTGCTGGTCTTTTGAGTTCAGTCCACCACGTCCCACCTCCATTACACAGGCAAACCTCATTTTTGCCAGCCCTGCGTGCTCCCGGAGCAGGTGAGGGTGGGAGAGACTTGCTTCTGGAATGCATTATAATACGCAGAAATCTGAAGTGAAAAAGGTATATGCCCGTGTCATACATCTAGGACAGCGATTTTCAACCAGTGTACCACGAGAATTCTTAAAACATGCAATACCTGACTATTTAGTCAGGGGCGGCACTGACCTCTTTTCCCTTAGACTGTCATATAAAAAAATAACAACAGGCAACACAACAGCCATCCCGTGTGAACAAATAAAACTATACCTATTTTTTTTTTGGTCAGATCAAGAAATATATTTTTTGGTGTGCCGCAGAATTTTAGTAATTAGTTTATGTGCCATGAGATGAAAAAGGTCGGAAATCACTGACCTAGGAGATGGCGGGGCCTTTAAAACATGCCCACAAATTCTCTGATACTCCTCCCTTCCAGAGGCAGAGCCAAATTCCCCTCCCCCTGAGTGTGGGCCAGATGCAGTGACTCACTTTTAATTAATAGAATATGCAGAAGTAAACAGTATGCAACTTCCAAAATTAGGCCTTACAAGGCACTCTGGCATCCTTCTTGCTCCCTTGAACCCCTCACTCTAGGGGACCAGCTGCCATGTCACCAGGACACTCAAGCATCTCTGTGGAGAGGCCCACGTGGCGAGGAGCTGAGGCCTCCTGCCAACAGCCATGTGAGGGCACAAACTTAGAAGCGGGTCCTCCAGCCCCAGTCAAGCCTTTGGATGATGGCAGCCCAGGCCTGTCTCGACACAAGCTCAAGAGCGATCTGAGCCAGAACCACACCACGGAGCCACTCCCGGATTCCTGACCTGAGTAGACTGTGAAGTAATGTTTGTTGTTTTAAGCTGCTAAGGTTTTTTTTGTTTAAGTTGTGAATCTGGGGGGTAATCTGCTATGCAGCGATAAACAGCCGGTACAGGGATACTCCCAAATAAGCATCACTGTTTATATGATCATAAGGAATTTTGCTAGACAATTCTATACAGCAAACAGTGGTCATCCTCCTTCCTTTTATGTCCCTTTTTTAAATTTACTTTAATCCCCACTGGAGGATATTTTTTCCATTAATTTTCAGAGACAGTGGAACTGAGGGGCTGGGGGGAGAGAGAGAAATACCAACGTGAGAGACACACATTGATTGGTTGCCCCCTGAATTCACCGGGACTGGGGCTGGGGATCGAACCTGCAACCCAGGTACATGCCCTTAACCGGGCATGGAACCCAGGACCCTTCGGTGCGTGGGGCCGTGCTCTAACTACTGAGCCAACCCCAGCCAGGGTCCCTTCATGACACTTGTCACCTAAATTATTCACTTTGCTTGCCTATCTCTCCTCCCCACCAGACTATAAGCTCCATGAGAACAGGGAATCCACCAACCTGGAATATTGTCTTGAACATAATAGACACTCAATAAATGCAGCAACAGAGAACAAATCTACGAACATTCTCTGTACAAATCTCCTGTCTCCCACACACTTGGAACTACCCCCTCGACAACTGTCACCACCCCTCGCCTTAAGTATCTCAACCAAAACCCATTAAAATTCCTAACCCCTCACCACTGAGCAGCGTAAATCTGGAGCCAGGGAGGCGGCAGTAATGGTTTGTAACACTCCCGTCTCCCCCCCTGCAAATCCTCGGTTCAGGTGGCCCGTCAGCTGTCTCCACTCTCCAGGCTCTGTGATTTCCAGAAACGGTGTCATTTTAATTAAATTCCACAGAACCATTCTCCGGCCCCAGAGGACTTCACCGTCGTGGGATTTTACCTTGCTTATTAACGGAAATCAGCATTCTTTGCAGACGAACAAATGGACTCGTTCCAAGGTGACAATTTCCTTCCTAACAAGGTTCAAATCCTCTAACAAGTTTCCGCAGCCACCGACAGAGTTTGTAAATCTATCTGGCACGAAATCTAACCAATATGTTGAAGACATGTGGTCCCAGAAAACTGTGTGAGCCTTTTTTTTGGTAATTAGATAGGAATCTCAAGGTATTAACAGAGCTTACTATGGAGAGAGGAATCTGAAAGTTAAATTCTTCCCTTAATATCTCAGGGAGGGAAGGCAGACATAAATTCACTGAAATATAAAGGGGTGGGCAAAAGTAGGTTTACAGTTGTGATACAAATAAATAATACAATAATTAATAAATAACAATAAGAGAATAAAGTCTGTGTTTCGCATGCTCACAACTATAAGCCTACCTCTGCCCCACCATGTACGTCTGTCTTTTACCTCCCTACCTGTCCAGTCTGCCCTCTGCCCACCCTTGCCCTCGCCCGGACGAGGCAGGGGTTCCCCAGAGCCTTCCATCCCCACTCCTTCAGCTCACACAGCAGCAGGCGAACTTGCAGAATGCTGGGGCACAAAAGGCCCTGTTCACCCTGGTGCACCCCCAACCACCACCACCATCCTGCACCCCATTTCCAGCCCTCCTGCCATCCCCCCTCCATCCTTCCTCAGGTCCCCACACCCCGGATTTCCAGCCCCACTGCCACCCTTCCTGGGGTTCCCCT